AGCGATTTTTACGTACGCGTAGAGCTGTTTTGGTTAAGCTACTTTTTAAGTAACATAAAAGAAGTAATTAATTTTTAAAAAAAATCACATTAACTTTTAAATAACGATATGTAAAGATATTTATTAAAAAAAAGAATTTACTTTAAAAATAATTGTTGTAACTTTTCATCGCGATATATCTTTCCTTTTTATAGCAATTAATTTGAGGCTAAACTTTTTATACAAATATTTAGCAACATGAAAAATTGTTTGTCAATCCTTAACTACAAAGTTTTTGCAATGTTTTTAATAAAAAGTAGTAACTTTTTAAAGTTTTTAGTAAAAAACTTTTAAAAAATCTATATTCCATATTTATTAATACAGAATATAAATGTTTTTTGTAATATAGATTTTTTTAAAATTTTTTACTGAATTTATAAAAAAAAAACATTTGCAAAAAAATTTGTAATTGATATTTTTTCGAGATATTAAAAAAAAATGTCTTTGCTTTTCTTATTAGTTAAAGGTATATAGATACCTTTACCTTTAAGTTATGCGGGGGGAGGGGGGAGGCACAGAAAAAAAAAACAACCTGTTACTCGCAATATTTGAATGAAGACAATTTGTTAAATTTCTTCTGCGTGCGATTCAATAAGTTTTTTTTTTCATAAATCAAGTTATATTATAAGGTAAAGAAATCATGAGTAGACTACAACATCCGCTGATGACACTAATATTACGTTGAATATATTTATACAACGAAGGTTCCATTATGCACGCGCACATTACAGGTTCCGTTAAATAAATACTAAGGCACGTTTTAGTTTAATGACAGTCTCTATTTTTTACTAATAAATATGTATTTTTCTTTATAAAACAAAACAAACTAGTACATAAAAACCTTGTATATTTCTATTATCTCTAAATTGTTTAAAGTTCGAATATGGATTGTACTTTGAAGGACAAAAGATTAACTTTAAAAACTTTTAAATCTTGGGACTTTGCCGATGCGATGATCACAGAAAAAGAGAAGACTTACGTTATTAAAATCAAATGTAAGTTATGTGATCTTCAACAAAATAAAATATTATCCAAAAACAATGGTGCCATAAGGGCAACTGCCCAACGGTTTATAAATAACACAAGTCATGTTAAAATATTTTAACATGTTACTATATTTTAATTAAGTTGATATATAATTAAAAATAAAAATATAGTTCAATAAATAAATTAAATTTGTTCTTAACAAAGATTACCTCATATTTATTCTTTTTTCATTTTATCAAGTTAAATTGCTTACAAACGAAAAAAAAAAGAGTTTTGTAATTATACGTAGAATGAAAATACTTTTGAGTTTGTTTATAAGTTAAGGAACTTAATTTTTAATAAACAAATTTATTATAAACAGATACGATTCAAATTATTAAATATACTTAAATTATTTCAGTTGAGTATTTTTTTAAGTTTGCACAAATAAAGTTTTGCGTAGAAGTATTTGTTTTTTTGTTTTAAGAATAATTAACAAAAGAGTTTGCATAATTGAGACTTTTATATTTAATTTAATTTTTTTTTTAATTTCCTAAAATTAAAAAAAAAAAGACTTAATCGTTAAAAACGATTTTTCTCTATAGCTCTGTTTCTTTGTGATTTGTTTAAAAAGTAAAATATTTTTACAACATAAAAAAATTTATTAATTAAATTCCTGGCGAACGCGTTCTAAACTATGTATCAAAAATTTGCTCAAAGCAGACAAAACTTTTTTATATTTTTATAAAACGCAAGTTGAAACGCTAAACAAGATAAGTTTAAAAAGAATTTAAAAACCTTAATTTTTCTTTGCTTGTCAAAACAAAATCGTTGTTTAAATAATTAACATGGGTTTGCGTTTATCAATGTTAATATTTTTTGTTTACTCTAGAAATTTTTAAAAATGAAAAAAATCATTATTATTTTTTATTCAATAACGATTAAAACAGTTATTCAAAAACAAATTTCAGAAAAAATTAAAAAATATATATATATATTTTACTAAATAATATTGAACTGAAATTAATAATAAAATAACAATTGAAAACATTACAAAATTTTCATAATAAATTTACATTTAAAACGTTTATAGTTTGAATTAATTGTTAAATTGAACTAGTTTGCGGTTATTTATTTATTGCGGTAGTTAAAACACTTAATGTCTATAAAAAAAATAAAGATAATTTTATGACGTCAAAATCGCGTTAAGCTAATGCATTAAGCACTTTTTTATTTAAAACAAGGCCTGCAGAGTCAACTGTAGTTCTATTGCCTGAAGATTTAAGACCATTCAAAAAAGCTGAACCAAGAAAAAGAGTTAGGGCTAATAAAAGAAGTAGAACCACATCAATTTTAACAGATTCACCAAATATGAATGTTTTAAAAATAGAGAAAGAATCAGCTAAAAAGAAAAAGTTAGCAATTGAAGAGAGAAAACAAGCAAAAAAGTTAAATGAAGATAATATTAAGATGAGTAAAAGATCAAATAATAAAGGAAGTTTACACTTAATGGAGAAAAGTTTGAATTGTCCAAATAGCTCTGTTGAAGAGGAGTGTTTTTGTTTGGTTTGTGTTGGAATGTTTTCTAAAAGTAAACCAGAGGAAGTTTGGATTCAATGCACCCAATGTCACCTTTGGGCTCACGAGTCATGTATAATCGGAAAATCTTTGTTTTTCATTTGCAATAATTGCTGCTAGCCGATTTGAAACTCCATTAGTTAAAAATATTCATGTAATAAAACAATATAAGTTTTAATTCTTATTGTATAACCATAAATTGGGAACACTGTTTTGTTTTGTCACTATTTTTTAATTATGTTTACTTTCTATTGCTTAAAATATTACAATGATTTGATCCAAAAGTTTGATGATATTGATAAAAGTATATTTCAGCTATTATTCCTTTAAAAAAAAGGGACGAGGGGTTAAAATATTATTGGAATACACTTAAATAGGACCTTTAACTTTAGCTTTTATTATTGCGAGTCAACTTACCCCTTGAGTATAAACAACTTACCCCAGGGTGGGGTAGGTTTGCGCAATTTTTTTTTTTTTTTTGAGGGCCCAGAAAGGCCCCAAAATATTTTTTTTGTAAATGAATGCAACTTTTATAAGTTACCTAAATTCATACTCTTCGAAACTACACTTTTATATTTTCAAAAAAATGTTCTGTTAGGACTACAGAGCTTATAGAGTAAAAACTAGCCCAAGTTTCCCCTAGTAACTAGTCAACTAGCCGCGGTCTTCCCTATCTACTAATAGCATATTTATCTAAGCATTTGCTCACTTTTTTTGCTTTTCTTTTTTTTAGAAAAAGAAGAAAAAAACAAAGAATAATGAATGAAAAAAAACGCGCGTTCACTTTAAAATCAACCAATAAAAACACTGGTAATTTACTTCTTAGGAGAAATCTATATTAAAAGGGGAGGGGGGGAGGCTAAAAACTTAAATTTTGTTTTATTATTTAATCAATTAAATCATAATAAAAGTAAAGACAAAAAAATATATTTCTAAATATACTTCTTTAGAAAAACAGAGGTGTTCAATTTAAAAAACTAAAGTTTATTAAATTGAACACCTTCGTTTTTAGTTTTAAGTAAATGTCAGTACTACTCTCAGTGGCGAAACTGTGGGAAGGGGGGGAGGGGGAGAAGGCCTTGGTTAACAGACAAAAAGTGTCCTGATTTTAAACTAATTTTAGGTTGCATGGGCAATATGGGGCTGATTTTGAAAATCGTGTTATTTGTTTATAACTAATCACTTGTTATAAACAAAAAACTATATCTAAAAACAAAAATTCAGTGAAAATTGGCCTTATTATTAAAAAATATATATATTGGTAACCGATAAATAATAAAACTTTCATTGTAAATCCTCCCGCTTTTTTTTATTATTTCCTCCTCCCATTTTATACATCCTGACTAAAATTCCCACCCCCACCTACCTTTGTATTAAGCACATTAGAGTAGTCAGTAGCAAAATTCCCCCCCCCCTCCGCACGATTTTCAAAATAAGCCCCACATCGCCCATGCAACCTAAAATTAGCTTAAAAATAGGACACTTTTTGTCTGCTACCCCCCCACCTCTGCAGTTTCGCCACTGAGAGTAGTACTGACATTTACTTAAAACTAAAAACAGAGGTGTTCAATTTAATAAATTTTAGTTATAAAGAAGTATATTTAGAAATATATTTTTTTGTCTTTACTTTTATTATGATTTAATTAATTAAATAATAAAACAAAATTTAAGTTTATAGCCTCCTCCCCCCCCCACTCCCCTTTTAATATAGATTTCTCCTAAGAAGTAAATTATCAGTGTTTTCATTGGTTGATTTTAAAGTGAACGCGCGTTTTTTCCGGACCGTTAGTAAGATGTTTAAAAATGCTAAACTGTTTATGAAAATATGTATTCGTAAAAGTTGCTAAGGTTTTTAACATTGTTTAAATATCCATTGTATTTTTTTTAGGTGCATTACTACTTTAATTAAAGTTTGGAATTACTTAACTAAATCATTTTTATTTATAATATCTTGATTATGTGTTGTTTGATCAAACAATAAACTATAAATGTAACATAAAAGAGTGTTATAAAAGTAACAACACTGTAGTATTATTACTTTTGTAGTCATAAATTTATTGTTTTGTTTTTCATAACATTTTCACTAACAAATTAAAGTTTATTTGCCTATTCCGTAAATTTCGTGGTTTTCCATAAACTGAAACTTTGAAGACCAGATAATTTAACAGATATCGCAAATCGCGATGCGTTAATTCAACCCTTGATATATATATGTGTGTGTGTGTGTGTGTGTGTGTGTTTGTGTGTGTGTGTGTATACATAAATATATGTATATACACATATATATGTACATAAAAACCTTAAATTTTCTAGTATTAGCAATTCTGGACAAAAACTATGCTATCCAATTTAAATTTTTTAATGACAATTTTTTTACTTTCAACCCTATGTTTATAAACACATAAAAGATAACTTACTTTAAGGTGAGTTTCATATTGCAACCATTGCAGGTAAAATGTTGCACACAAAAACATTTATTTAATGCTGTCACAACTAGAAAAGATCATTTTTTTACTTCAATAAAATATGAAATAAAGTTATAACAAATATAAAGCTATGAAATAACAACAAAATGTAGTAAAATTGTTTGTTTATGTATATAAAAAATTGCATAAAAAACCACCAATCAAGTGTTTGTTTTATATATATTTTCATATTATTATTATATTGTTTTAGTAATAAAGCACAAGTATATAGTATAAGAAAAAAAAAAAAAAAAAAAAAACGTTTTTTACATAGTATTTAGTTAAAAACTTTATTAGTTAGCTCAAACTAAAATGAAAGTTTAAATATAGCACTGTGGTTTCAATAAAAACACCAGTCATTGTAAAGTGTATATTTTATATAAACTATTAAACAAACAACAAAAATCTTACCATCTCTTGTAATAGCACGATTGCATATAAAGCAAAGGTCACCAAACAACTAATAATAATTAAATATAAGAAATCATTTATTTATAATATAAAATATTATATTTAAATCAATTAAATTTTATTTAAAATTACCTGATTAAAATGTGTTTCACAATAAGCAAGACCATTTCTCTCATAATGCCGATTACCATAGAATGGCTTTTCACACTTAGCACAACAAAAATGCTGCAGCAAAAGTAAAAAACTATAATTATTTTTGAACACAAAACAGTTATCAACATGAAAAATAAAAAACATTATACCACCACAGAATCATGTTTCTACACAAAATTTTGATTTCTCCTTATTAAGTAATAATTTGTTTACTAACAAATCTCAAAACTTTACATATTACGGTATATAAAAAAAAACTTGCATCAACATGCCACTGCTTGCCAATAGCATTGACAACTCTCTCATCTTCAATTGGTTGGCTAAATTAACAAATAGCTTTTAAGAAATAGAAAGTTGTAAGAAACATTACAAAACAATTTGACACAATTCAAATAGTTTTATAATATTACTCACCGACAAGCTCCGCATATGGGTATTCCCATTTTATCATGACATCGAAGACAAAATAATTCATTGTTGCGCTTACGGCAAGTTTCATCAAGCTCTTTTCTAAAAACAAAAAAAGTCATTAAATAAAACAATAGACAATTCATATTGCAAAAAATTAACTATAAAAACAATGCCTTCATACCCGCATTCATAGCAGTTGTAATGCCATGGATGAACAGGATCTCCCATATAAACAATATGTTTACCTTCTTCAATATATGTGTGACATTTATGACACATGAACCTACCACCTTTTGATTTCTCATTTGCATTACAACGTTTGCAAAGAGCTCTATATTTAAGATATATAAAATTATGTCAATTGAGTGTGTATAATATTGTATAGAATAAAGAGAAAAATTAAAATTTAAGTAGAATTTATGTCAATATATTAAAATTTAAATGGCAATACTTTAATTTTTATTCTGGTTTATGATGGTTCAAGATGGAACTCAAGAGTAGAATTCTATTGTATTCTTGCGAATGAGGCACAGAGTGCACACAAAGCTACGAACTACCAAGGTACACAGTTCAATCCAACTTGCTACTTACATACTGCCACAGACTTATTTTAACATCTATAAATTTACAAGTTGAGTAAACACTCAATTTGTAAAATTTGTAAAATTTGTTAAAACATTTTTAATAGATAGAAAATAAAACTGAAAAAATTTCTAACATTTATGAAGACAAAAGCAACACAGCTTATTAACTAGTAATATTATTATCTTTTTTTGTTCAAAAAAAATTAAAAGCTAATAGCTGAAAATAAGAAAAACAAAGTGATTTACTAAATTGAAACCAATATACAGAATACCTTTCCTAAAGCAGCCCTCAGAATCAGGGTCAGCATTCAGCAATGTCCACCTAAAAGTATCCGAGATTGGCAGGTTTTGCCGACCATTTTTCTACATTAACTCTCTGCTTGTCATGAAGCTAAATTTATGGTAAATAGATAATTTAGCTAGTCATGAAATTTATGGTAAATAGATAATTTAGCTTGTCATGAAATTTATGGTAAATAGATAATTTAGCTTGTCATGAAATTTATGGTAAATAGATAATTTAGCTTGTCATGAAATTTATGGTAAATAGATAATTTAGCTTGTCATAAAATTTATGGTATCAGATTCATTTATGCTTTAAATGACTCATTAAAAACATGAATAGAAATGACAAAAGAGAAATATTAACAAAATCGCACCAATTGTAGCATTTTTTCTTGAAGTCATCCATCATAACACAGAGACCATCAGACTAACAAAATAGATGCTAATTAGCAGAAAATAATAAAAAAATAAATAAAATGAAATACTAAACCAAAGTCTTAAAAATTCTTAAACATACATGATACTAGACTGAAAGTGTAATTACGAATAACTATAGTGTTAGTTGTAGATTTTTCAAGAAAAATCTACAATCAACACTTCCTAAAGATTTAAAGACCTAAACTTAACTTTTCTTTTCAAAAAATGTAAACTTAACATTTATTTTTAAATAATATAAACTTAACATTTCTCTTTATATAATATAAACTTAACATTTATCTTTAATTTAAGGTATATTCCTATAACCAGGAAAGATTTTATCTTGGACACCCTAACCTGCATATCAAATCAAAAATGAAAATATAATACCATTGATCAAAATAAAATACCTAAACTCTAATACAATGCAAATAGTTTGATTTATTTTGAAAAACATATTTATTTGAAACATTTAATTATTCAAACTTGTCTTTCAAATTAAATTAAACACTTAGCAATTTAGTTTTTAAAGAACAAATTAAATTAAAAAAAAAAGCTAGTTAAATTTGCTTGCAGTATTTAAAAGAAATTGTAGGTTAACAATTGGTTAACTGTAGTGTTTTTTAAGTGACGTAAATAAGACATCATAAAATGGAGTATAAATCCAATAATTCAAGTTAAAACAGTCTTATTTACCAACTTTATTTAATTTTTTCTAAAATTATAAATCAAATGAAATCAAATTACATGCATTTAAAAGTAAATGATATCATTTAAATAAAATTTTAAAAACTATTACTTAATAGCACAAACTTTTAAAAATTACCTTCCAGCATTTTTAACAAACCCAGCATCTGCTAAAACATCATCACATATCTCACATCGGAAGCAGTCAGGATGCCAATTGGAATTCACAGCTTTAATGACCCTTCCAATAATGTACTCCTTACAGCCTCTGCAACAAGGAGCATACAGTTGCTGGAAATCATATTCACAGTATTGACGACCATCAAACTAAAATATTTTTATTTTATTTACTTTTGGTTTTAAAAAACAATTTTAATGTTATATTAAACTTAACCATTATACTTTTATTTGTTTTTATACTTTGATGTTATATTAAATTTTAATATATAGCATCTTGCTAGTATAATAACATACTAGCAAGATGCTTTAACATTTTTGTAATACAAAATATCACCATAGTCAAATAGTGCTTTATAATTAGTACTAAAGTTTTTTTTTGTCTGTAAAATCTGCCATTTTAAAATCACTATTTTAAAATGGCAGCGTTCATGGCAACAATAATTTTATTATTTTCACTATGTTAATTATACTGCTCAAATTATATAAGAAACAATTTTTTTAAAAAAACTACATTATACTGAGCACTTACTTCATAAAAAACACCATCTTCAAATGGTCGAAAACATTGAGCACACCTATAACATAAAATCAAAATTTAGAAATAATATTTATAACAATTATAATACAAAAATATTTAAAAGAAATTATTTATAAATATTTAATATTTTATTTATTTGATACGTATAATATTCAATTATAACATTTTGTTTTCATTTTAATTATCTAAAATGTGGTAAATTTAAAGTTAAACTATACTTTATGAAAGAATTTTTTTCAAAAGATGTTAAACTATTTATCAAGGAATTTTTTTAAAAAAAGAAATTCTGTCAAGTTCATTTGAGTTTAACCAACATTTCTTGATTTTCCTAAAATTTAGAATCTGATTTGTTTTTTGATTAAGGAATTCAAAAAACTCTAAAAACTTGATAGTCTTAAGCCTTTTTTATCTTTTTTATCTAAGTTTTATTTAATACTATTGACTTGTAAATTAATGATTTTTGGAGACAAAATACTGTCACCCAAAATCCCTGGAGAAATTGTTAATTGTCTGGGCTCAAATTAAGTGAATAGTTTTTGCTTTTTATGATGTTGTAAATATTTTTTATTGTGTGTGATTTTTGTTGTTGTATTTGGCTCTTTATCAGGCCATTCCTAAAAATATAAAATAAATGTTTTTGTCTAAGGTTTTAAAGGTCCGTAAAGTATGTCATGCTAATCCGTAAAGTATGTCATGCTAAATTTAACTTTTAAATAGAATCATTTGCTTTTTTTAAATCTGCATGAAAGCAAATAATTTCCCACTTCTTTTTTTAAGTTAAATTTAGTGTGATTTATTTTATAAAGTACATTACACAAAATACAGTAAAACAAAACAACACTAAGTTACTAAACATAACTAATAAATTCAAAGGTATTTATTTGCAAAAGTTAGCCATAGCAATGTTTTTTTTTTTTAGATCTAATATATTTTTGACACTTAAAAAGCTCTAAGTAAAACAATATTTATTTTTTAAAATAGATTATGAACACAATACCATTTTTTTATATTTTCATTTTATTAATAGCGATATCAAGATAAAACATAATCCTCGAAGGCTTATAAGCTCTTTCTTAGTCGGAAAGCTTAATAATTTGTAATCGCCTTAATTTAGTTAAGGCGATTTACAAATTATTCAAGTATTTTTATTTAGAATTAGTATGATTTTATCAGCGTATTATGTCCAAACAAAAGCTTTAGATGGTATAACCTTTTTTGCTTCAGATTTTTTTTATATTTAAAGAAACTTTTCTCTTTTTATATAATTTTCTTTAAAAAGTATATTTAGTATAAAAAACCTTTTTACTACCCGTAATAGTGAATCTAAAAAACACTATTGTGGAGTCTTTAGATCAATTCCGCTCATCAGCATTAACATGAATTTCGTTAAAATCTTTTGAAAAAGTTCCTTGTCAAAACACAATACTTCTATCAATTTTCACAAAAAATACTAGAATTCCGACCAAGAAAGAGCTTATAACTATGAAAAATTGCCAATAAATGATCAGAACAGATCATATTGTTAAATTATAATGTTCATTTGACCTAAAAAACATATTAACTTAAAATCTTATTCAAATTTGACAAGCGATTATGATTTTAAGATGATTTTTTTAATTGGAATGGAAGGAAGTTTAATTGGAAAGGAAGGAAGAGAAAAGCCATAAGATTCAAGAGTCAAATTAGAAAAGTTCTTTGAAAATAGCTCAGTCTTATCCTTGGGAGAGGTAGTAAGATTAATCCCATGAATGAGAGATGGGATGTTAGACCTACCTTTGTTAAGGACTGTCTGTTTGAAAATTATGCAAAAATAAAACAATTCTAATACGCTAATACATATGGATGACAATTTTTTTTTTTGTGGTGGATGATTTCATATAGAATGACCCTATGGTATGTATGTATATATACCATTTTTGCTTGACTTGTCATTCAGCAAAATCTAATTCTTTTACTGTATCTGTTCCTACATGCTCTAAAAACTTTTATTTGTCTGGTTCATCTAATTTAATCGTCTAAATTTATAATAAATATAATAAATTTATTTGTCTGGTTCATCTCTGGTTCATATGGAATGACCCTATGATATGTATGTATACATACCATTTTTGCTTGACTTGTCATTCAGCAAAGTTTAATTCTTTTACTGTATTTGTTCTTACATGCTCTAAAAACTTTTATTCACCTGGTTCATCTAATTCACCTAGAAACTTTAAGTTTCATGCCTAAGAGCAATTATCTGCCATAAGTTACAAAATTAAAAATTAAGCATTAATTTTACAATTAGAACTAGAATTACTGTGGTGTGAATTCTAATGACTCCATGGAAACAAAATTTGATGTAAATAATTAAGGATTAATTTTTAATCAAATGAGAAAAAGAGAAATTTGCTTTTGACACTTCAAAATTATTTTTCTCCTTATATTTAGTAAATTTTCTCTTTTTTTATAACAAAATTTGTTAGTTCTCATTCAAACAGAGATTGCAAACTTTTGATGCTGGTTTGCATTGTTTAATAATTTTCTATTAAATAATAGGTATAACATTTTTCTCTATTGATTGCCATACTTTCTTAGACAACTCAGCATCATTCCTCTACCTAACTTTATTAAAGAATTTCAAATGCTATCATTAAATATAAACAAAAGTTTATTTTGGAGTCAGTGAAACACCTATTAAACTTCGGTTTTAAATGTGTTTCAATGACTGACTCCATGATCAGTCTACAAACTGTCAAGATCAGTTAATAACCTTACAAAACATTATATAAAAGCTGAGTGATACTAAGAAACACATGTTTCTTAGCTCATTTTTAAGAAGAACAGTCTATGGTAAAATTTGTTCAAAATTTTTCTTCATTTTTTCAATAAAAGATACCTAGATTTTTAAAAAATAATGTAAGCCAATAATGATACATATTTTAACAAATTAAATAACTTAACAACTTCTAAAAAAAAACAATATTAACACTCATTTGACGAAATCTCACGCTTAAATGCCGTTATAGTCAAAACACTAACGTAGTTTTAACTCACCAAAAAAATTGTACAGCATTTTTTATATAATATAAATTTAGCTCGAGTTTAATGAAAAATAACCATAACTTCAAACTATAAAGATTTTAATATGTTTAATGTCTTATTTGTATAACTGTATAAACAAACTCACACAAAACAGTTTTCATGATAGAGAGCCCCATTTGAATTTACCATTTTTTCATCATTTTCGAATACTTCATTGCAAACATTACAAACTGATTGCCCTGAAACCAGCGCCATGTTTGACTTAAAACTAAACTTTTCAAAACATGGAAAATATTTAACCTATTAGACATTAAATTTATCAGACCGAAACACTGCGTTCATTATTGAAGACTGGATCTGAATTGTAGGATTGCCAAGAAAATAGTAAAAAAGAGGCGCGTCACAGGGATGAAGTTGTTTATAAATATATCCTTTTAAATTGGCAACACTTGTTTTTTTACGTATACACCCAGCAAACAATTTTGTAGACCAGTAAAAAATTGTGGACCTATATAGACGTTTTGGGCGGTCCATTAAAGTTTATCTTTTTATGCTTATCCGCGAGTACCGCGGGTAGCATTTCATCGGAAGTTAACGCCTCCTTCCAAACCGATGTCACAAAACTTACCCAGAGGTGAGGTTTGAATTATGGATCATTTGTTTCTGAGGCAAGTAGGCTACCCCTGCACCACGGCTGTTTATAATGAGCTCATTGATTACTTAGTGGATCATTAGTGGCATATAAGTAGCAAGTCGATAACCTTTCAACATGCAGGTGAGTAATACTAGAAGATTTCAATTTTCCGAACATTAGCTGAAATAGTAGATATGCTGAGGGCATCTATTCCAGACGTCCTAAAGTCTGGAATAGATGTCCAGTTCCATGTCATTCCATGAGAACATCTATTCCAGACGTCCTAAAGCCGTCTTTTCAAGACATTCTAGAGACGTTTTTTTCAGACGTTTTTTGACGGACTCCAGCGGGCATTTTGACGTCCTTAGGACGTTTATAAGACGTCTCAAGTCTCGTCCGTAAGACGTCCTTAGTTAGTCTCAAATGAAAGACCTGAGGACGTCTATTCCAGACGTCCTAAAGACGTCTTTTCAAGACGTCCTAGGTACGTGTCCTAGTGACGTTTTTTCAGCTGTCCTATGGACGTCTCTGGCAGGTCTCATGTGAAAGACTTAAGGACGTTTTATTCAGACCTAGACATTCTTTTAAAAGTTATATTAAAATTCAATGATATGCAATACACACCTTAGATGGCAAGTGAAGGTATAAAAAGAAATCAAAGTTCATAAGGTGTAATTTCATATATTTAAAATAAATTATTAATTTTACAAAAACTTAGAAAAATTATTCAAACAAAGTTACAATTTCCAAATTAAAAACTAATATATTTTGTAGAGTATAATCGATAGTATATTATAAGTAGAAAGAAATTACTGAAAAATGCAAAATAAATAAAAAAAACAACAGTTGATTGAAGTTAATTAAGCCATCGTTGATCAATATCGATATTGGTGGATTTTCTCTTGAATTGGTCAGAAGAATGCATAATTAATCTCCCAATAAGTTGCATGAGATCCATTTTGGTTAAGCTTTTATTTGACTTTGAAGCAGCATCTAATAAAAACAACAAGACATAGTTCAATAAGATCATAAAATAAAATACATGTCTTGTTCCATAGCCAAAGAAATTGAGAAAAAATTTTTTTTTATCGAAAGATCGTTTTTAATTTTAAAAGTAAATTGAACACAATAATAAGCTAATAAGAATACCAGTAATAACAATACATAGACTAGTCAACTTTTTAAACTTTTTTTTCTTCTTTAGACCATTCATACTGCATTCTGAAAATAGTGTCTGTTGTCAGTCTACATATAAAAAAGATGATTAATGTCATGCTGTCAAACATAAATGTTAAAGTTCAAACTTATGCTAATTACTTACAAGAGCAAAATATTTTTAAATGTATCAACTAAATTTTTACCGCTAATTAATGATAACTGTTTTACCTAAAAAGAAACAATGCGAAAGAAACATTGAAAATGTTCATGACAATTCAAAAGAAATATTGTAACAGTATAACATATAGGGTAGATTAGGGTAATATGAGCACCTTAAGCAAAAATTGGAATATTTTCAAAAATAAATATGCTGGATCCAAAATTTTTGCAAATAAACAATTTTTAGGGATCCCTATTCATAATCTATTTAGATATTTGGGCACTTAACATTGTTTCTTAAAAACACAGAGGTTTTAAAAAAGTAGCAAAAGTGCTCGTATTACCCTGAGCCCTTGGTAATATGAGCACTTTAAATTAGCTTAAAAAAATAGCATTAATTAAGTAAAAAAAGACCAACCTGCTTAATAGAACTAATTGTTGGAATATAATGATTCGTGATTAACAAAACATATCATCAAAAAATCAAATTTTAAGCAACATTTTGTTGAAACAATACTACTACGTTTTCCGCCAAAAAAAAAAAAAATTAATACATTGTTTTTTCAATTTTGTTAACTCAAACCTTTGAACAATAAAAATTAAAATTTTTTAGATTTAAGTTACAGAAAAATGTTTAGTATTGTTAATATATTAAAATTTTTTACTATGTCTTGTTTTTATTCAAGAAGCAATTAAAAACCACTGCTATTTTGGGACTTTAAACTAAGCAATTTCAATGAAAAGCACTGTGTAATTTGAGCATGCTCATATTACACAAAAATGGTATCTTTAAATAAAGTGAAAAATAAATGTTTCTATGCATTATTTTTCAAAAAAAAATGAGTTGGATTTTTAGCTAATATATTTTTCTTTATGAAAAAATTAATTTCATTATTTTAGCACCAAAATATCGCGCCACAGAATTATTCACGCGTGATGATTTTTTTTAACAAAGCAAAAAATTTAAAAGCGTTTTAATTAGATGATATCCGCTAATTACTGCGTATAAATTTACGCTAATTGTACTGATTCCTGTTATCACCACATAAAGTCGATTCGAAAAACATAAAGCAACTTTAATTTCACTGTTTACATCTAATAAATCTTTAAGTATGCTCATATTACCAAGGTGCTCATATTACCCTAATCTACCCTAAACTATAAAGATGAAACTCATGCATACAAAAGTGATGCATTTAATATCTCCATTTGCAATTTTTCTTTTCAAAATATTAAGTTCATCTGAACTTTTAAGTTGTTTATAAATTTCTGGATCATTAGAGAACTGTGCAATTTTATTTACTAAAATGTTTTTAATTTCAGCAAGTTGGAATATCACTTTTCTCTAAAACTCTGAAAAGTAAAATATATAAGTGAAGCCATGTAAATAGTATATAAAGTAGTAAATAGTACTTTCTATAAATGGTTGGAAAAGGTAGATTTAAACTGAATAATGCAAAAAATCTCAAGTTTCATGCTTAACTTAAAAAAAGATATAAACAAGTCAAGTTCAAGAAAATTATAAGGTTTTTGTCTAACGCTAATAATTGTAAAGAATCGCTACCTATACACAAACATATATATATATATATATATATATATATATATATATATATATATATATATATATATATATATATATATATATATATATATATATATATATATATATATATATATATATATATATATATATATATATATATATATATATATATATATAAATATATATATATATATATATATATATGTATATATATATATATATATATATATATATGTATATATATATATATATATATATAGATATATATATAGATATATATATATATATATATATATATATATATATATATATATATATATATATATATATATATATATATATATGTATATATATATATATATATATATATATATAAAGAGTTTATGATATATATATACATATATATATATATATATATATATATATATATATATATATATATATATATATATATATATATATATATATATATGTATATATATATATATATATATATATATATATATATATATATAAAGAGTTTATGATATATATATACATATATATATATATATATATATATATATATATATATATATATATATATATATATATATATATATATATATATATATATATATATATGTATATATATATGTATATATATATATATATGTAATATATATATATATATATATGTATATATATATATATGTATATATATATATATATATATGTATATATATATATATATATATATATATATATATATATATATATATATGTATATATACATATATATATATATATATATATATATATATTATATATATATATATATATATATATATATATATATATATATATATATATATATATATATATATATATATATATATATATAAAGAGTTTATTGGTTCATGGCCTACTATAATGACACGGCCTGATTTGTTGCATTCTCCGTAAAAAATTAAGAGGCTAGTTTTTTTACGGCTTATTTTCTATTATAAGACAATTAACAATATTTAATAATTAAAATAATGTGATTATTACAATTATTATATCAAAGTTTGGTTTAAGCTTACATATTTATGTAATATATATTTCTGATTATATTCTGACTGATTGTCTGCTTCATTATAATCCATTAGAGAGTGGAATAATAAAATAGACATACAGACAGTGTACTTGGTATATTGTATACAGTCGAACTGCTTTTTTTTATGCAATGTTATTCAAGTGGAGATAATTTCAATAATAAATGTAAGAAATCTCAATATTAGTGGTTTTTGAGATTTTTTTTAGTTATAAAAATGGTTAACAAATGTGTTGTCACTAACTGTAAAACTGGTTACTCTACTGGTCCAAAAAAGTCTACATTTCATTTTCCTGAAGAAAGCAGTTTGCGAGAAAGATGGATATATTTTGTCAATAGAAAAGATTGGTTTCCATTTAAATACTCTGCTATTTGTATTGATCATTTCGAGGATAAATTTATTAAATATGGGAAAAGATGCACCATGAAATGGGATCTCCAACCTGTTCCAACTATTCACACAGATAAAAAAGTAGTTCATCAACTTTAAGGGTGCCAAAGTTGCCTAGAAAAGAACCAACTTTAAGGTACTTGGGAAAAGATGAGTTCAGTGATTTTCAAAATATTGATAAAATAATTAGTTCGTTAAAAGAACAGCATTGCCCACCAGGATTTACATTTAAGAAACTTCACGATAGTGTTGTTTTCTATAAACTCTGTTTTGATGAAATATCAGGTATACCAACTGTGTTTGAGTCAATAACAGTTGATAAAAATCTTAATGTTTCATTGTCGTATAAAGGATTTCATATTTCTTTACGAATGGTTTCGCAGTGGTCATAATTCCAAATTAACAAACTGT